TCTCATTACTTGCATGCTGCATATTCAAGGTGGCAGGTGCTGCCTGGCTGGCTGGCGTTGATCAGAGGTGGGTTGTGGGCTGTGCATTAGAGAAATCACATAGTACAGGTAGGAGAGGAGGCACCAAGACCTGGACACATCATCGGGAGGGGACCAGGCTGAAGCAGGTAAGCCTCTGCAGCATGAGGAGCTCGGGCCAGAAATGAATAGGGGGTCCTGAAAGGAAATGCTCTGCTGTCCATCTGTCCTGGTCAAGAAATATTCATTGCAGAGCTTCTGTGTGAGCAAGGAGGCATCCAGGGGAATGAAGGATCGCTGAGATGTGACCCAAAGCCCCTACTCACAAGCAATTCCCTGGCTAGTGAGGTGTGTCTAAGTCTTACACCCATATGTCAAATACCCACAAGATGAGGAGAGGTGTGAGAAGCATCAGGCAACTGGTGCCACGTTCAGAGTTGAGATGGTTTCCTTCCAGCTGGAGGAGGAGGAAAGTCATCATCGAAGGGGAGGGGCTTGAGCGGGACAGAATCTGACTAAGCTGAGACTGAGGTTGAGGGCACAGGACATGTTCTAGTTAGAGGGGATAAATAATGCCAGCTATCATTTATCAAGAACAAGCTGAGTGAGGGATACTGTACTAGACATTTTCCCCTGTCACCCGTGAGCCTCACAACAATGCTGAGCATGCAATGTCACTTCCATTATATAGATGAAGAAACTCTGGTACAGAAGGCAAGTGAGTTGGCTGAGGCAGCTTGTCTTGGAGCCAGGCTTTCAAACAAGAACTTTCTAGCTCTGCAACCTGATATTTGAGTAAGCTACTGCTGAGTAACAGACCACTCCAAAATGAGTGGCATAAACAACAATCATCATTTATTATTAGCTCGTGGTTTGAGGAGCAAGGGGATTCACCTTGGTGACTCTCACTTGCATCGCCCAAGTGGTTCCTGCCAGATGGTGGTGGCGCTGGGGTCATCGAATGGGTCCTCAATTGCACAAAATGTTGGCTGGCTCCTGGGCCGGTTGTTGGAACAGAGAGGACTGCTCAGGCTGATTGTCTCCATGTGGTCTCTCCAGCATGGTGGCTTCAGCATGTCTGAAGAGAGGAAGAAAGAGAGGGGAGCCAGGCAGGAGAATGGGAAGAGGCATAGCATAGCCAAAGTAAAAGTCAAAGATCTGGGCTTGGGTCACCCTGGGATTTGGTGGTGCCAAGAACCAAACTGGGGACATTAGAGGAAGTGCTGGATTGGGACAGTTGACTTTGGTGCCCATGTCAAATAAGAGGTACAAGGAGAGCATGTTGGAAAACTGCCCAGAAATGGGTAGAATTGTAGGTCTAGACCTTAGACAGTGGACTGGGACTGAGTACGCAGATTTCAGGGATTGGAAGCCATAGTGTGGCTGAGCCCACCAACGCAGAGAGAGCAGAGCATCCATAGGAGGATGCCAGAACCCTGGGGACTCTGATGTTTGGAGGGTGGTACCAGAAAGACAGCAGGAGCAATCAGTCCAAAGGAAAGGCCTCAGAAGACCCTTCTGACCCCAAGACTCTAGGGAAACCCTAAGCGGAAGGGCAGGGACAGACTGTCACTCATGCCAAGACCCATCTCTATCTACTGTAGGACATCCATCAATCCTTTCTTCCTCAGATCCAATGGCTGATCATTTCTGTTGGTGCAAATTCTATCCCTGGTTCACAATGGAAACCACCACAAAGACAAGCACCGTGTCACAGGCACCGATGGCATCAGTGGTCATCTTGACATGCAGAGCTAAATGGATGCCTTCAATGTTGGATGAGCGAATGTATGAAACAGGTAAAAATGTGACTGTTCTGAGAGCTGTGGGCCTGGCTTCTCTGGTCAGCTATCTCCCTCTTGTCTGAATTTCCCTTCACCAAACTCTCCAAAGAAACTTCCAGAACCGCTATCTCCCCTGATGCTTTCGTGGTATAGCAGAGGCCTAGAGGAGGAAGTGGCTTCCCGAGAGGTGAGAGGTTATGGTCAGTGTCAGAAATGGGCATGGGGGTGAATGCCCAGTACGCCAGCTCCACGCCCAGCGGCGCTCAGAGTTCTAAGGAACAACGGGAAGAGGGAAGCCTACTCCCCAGGAGGACTGACCAAGGGACTAGCAGGCCTTCCCCACGAAGTGGACACACACACTCCGCCAAGAAGCAGCTCTGGGAATGGCGGTCAGGCCCGCGCAGTCAGAAGCTGGGGTAGGACATGCTACTGATAGCCAGCGCCAGGCCGGGGGCCGCCGAGCGCCAAGCTGGCCGAGGCCCCGCCCTTGGCACGCTGGCGCCTCTGGGACCTTGTGGCAGGCTGATCTCCTTGCAGACCCTGGGTCCGAGGGCGGAGGGGAGGAAGGGAGACATTGCTGTGGTTTTGCGGCCAAGGAGGGAACATACTTAGGATATTTAGGGGATGGATAGGGAACTGGCCCCACTCCCCCCAGGCTCTGCCTGCCAGAGCTCAGCCACTGGAACATGCCATTTGAGAAATGTCTTCATTTTCTCTCAGTCGCTGGCCAGGTTCCCGCCACACTCATTGAGAGCAGAAAGCGGGGCGGGGGGGGGGGGGGGGGGGGGGGGGGGGGGGGGCAGGAGAGGGAAGGTAAGGGTCATAGACGGGAGCAAAGGAGGACGGGGAAGCTGGTTCTCAAGAGCTCTCCGTGCCAAGCAAACACCATGGGGCCTGCCAAATGTGCCTGCCACGTGGTCTGACAGCACCCCGGGTGGCTCCCCAGGCCCTGTCCCGCCATCCCACAGGAAGTCACGTCTCACCCTGGCCCAGAGCCTGACGGGGGCACACCACGAACCAGGGGCTCAACATGCCCAGCGGGCTCCATCCATCCAGGCACATCAGGGAGCCCTGCTCCAAGGACGCCAGTGCAAGAGCCCAGTTAAGCTGGGTACCTTGCCTGCCAACAGTAAACCTCTTAAGTCAGTCTTTATTTTTATAGACCATGGCTTAAAGGCCCCAGCCACTGCGAATCCTGCCTTCCCCTGCTTATTTGTAATTTTTAAACACCTTGATTTATTGCTTGAAAGTCTCTGACTGTATCCATAGACACAGGATTTTAGAAATGTCAGAGCTGGGAAAGAAAATGCCAGAGCTGCCTTCCCCCACTGCCTTATTTACAGATCAAGAAACCAAGGCCCGAGGCGGTGCCCCTAGAGACAGCTAGGCATCCAGAAATAAGTGGTGGATGGACGTAGAGAAATTCTGATTTTGGTGGGAGGCGGATGGCTGCAGGGAGAAGAAACAGGCTTGGGTTCAGGTGTCCTTTTGTCGAACTCTCACTCGGTCGCTTGACTGGCATGACCTTGGAAAAGTTACTGACCCTCAGCCTTCTCATCTGTAAAATGGGAACTGGCATGCCCTTTATAGTCTGAGGAGAATGAACAGCAACCACCATCCACGGAGACTGGCAAGTCACAGGCACTCAACAAACATACCTTCTCTCTCTAGGTATCAGCCTGACATCTGTACATCATCCCCTGTTACCGATTTTTGATAAATTTGAGACCTGGGCATTTCACGGGAGAAGGCTACACCCCATGGGACTTTGTCCTATGAATGGGACATGGCTTCGTGGAGACAGCTGGAGCCAGGCCTGGGAACAGAACCTTCCTCCAGAGAGAGCCCGGCAAAGGGGAGGGGCTGAGTCAGAACGTCCGCCCAGCCGCAGTTTACCCGAGACGTCACCCGATCGGGGTGGATTCAGTGGTGGACCACTCTGCCCCAGCATCGGAAAGTAGACACCTGGCTCCGAGTGTGGAACAGGAGATTTACCTTAAAGATACCCTGGTTGGGGCCCGATAGGGATCAGCTGGCATTTCGTGTGGCCGAAAGAGTGGCAACTGAATACTTTGCCCCGCTTGACCCAGCCCCTGTACCAACGCCATAGATCAATTTCTATTTTTTCCTTTCTTCTGTAAACAGTGGCGCTGGGGCAGGTCTGCCCGGATGGCTTGCCCACAGGCCCGCCCCAGAATCCCTGATCGTCTATGGCAGATAATGCTGCCTTGAATTTGCACCCATCCCAATTTTCATTCACACTGAGTTTTTTGGCACTTTAGTAATGAAAAAGCCGGGGGGGGGGCATGGGGGGGGGGAGAGCCATCGATATGAAACATCCCGGCTCAGATTCTGGGCAAACAGCTGCTTTGTGTTTGGAATTTGGGGCTTGACTGGGTTTCAAGGCAAACCACAGCCCTGAAGCAAGCCTTTCTTCTCTCTGCCAACAGGCGCCCACAAATGCCTAAATTTAGAAGCTGGCAATTGCCCTCATTTAGGATGTTAGGGGAAACTCAGGTAATACAAACTATCTCAGATCAGAAAGGTTTATGAACTCACTTTGTTGATAGAGTCGACTTGTTTCGCCGGTGGTGGTGGTGGCAGGGATCTTTTTTGCTTCACCTTTTTCTCAAACACACAAATGCGATTTCTATCTTGGAAACGAAGGCGGCAGACTCTGTTTTAAGACAGCCCCTCTCTGGGGATCACCTGGAGCTCGTCTGCCAGGTGTCCCTACAGTCGTCTGCACCGTGCACGTCTGCCACGCGGCTCGCGGCTCATGGCAGCCCGCGGGGCCTACCTGTCCGGCGGGGAGAGCCTTGCAGGCGTATTCCCGCCGGGATGCCTAAAATCATATTTTATAGGAGGTGGCGAGATTGGAAAGAAAGTAACCCTCGAAGACAGAACAGCAGAGGAAGAAGGGGAAAAAAAAAGAAAGAAAAGAAGGTTTTGGACCAAGACACGGGCCAGGTTCTGTCCACTCTTAGCAGAGTGGCTACCGAATGTGCTGGAGATGTGCTCCTCGCCAGGCCCACCCTGGCCGTCACTGTCCTCACGTGCACGGCACAGGGCTCACATCCTCTCATCGTCTTGACACATACGTGCAGCGGGATGGAAAAGAGAAGCCCATGCCTGCCCCCCATTCTTGTCTTTCATGTACACCCAGAAAACAAAAAAAAAAACAAAGAGAATTTTTTTTTTCAGATTTTACAGATTTATTTTTAAAAAAACAAAAACAAAAGGTTAAAAAAGTCCTTCATTTCCAACCCTGCCTGGGGGTGTGAGTGGGGAATAGAACAAGCTGAGAAAGGTGCCCCCCTTCTTCCCGCTCTTCCCCCAGGAGCCTCCAGGGACAGGGCAAGTCAGAGGCAGGCCCTCGCCCTTCCTGCCCTGCCTCCTCCGCAGGTAGCTCAAATTGCTAGCAAGTTCGGGAGGCAAAGAAGTGTGGACGCGGGAGGCCCAAGGCTGCTTTCTTCACGACAACGTCACCCCGGCTCTTCTCTGCCCTCAAGACATTTTCTTTTTTTTTTTTAACAGGGGAAGCAGGGGCCTTTATTGGGGTCTGGCAGATGTGGTGGAGGTTGGAGGTTAGAGGTGGACTCCCAGGCCTGGGCCTAGGAAAAGGCAGAGAAGAGGCAAAGGGCCCTAGAAGCAGGAAGGAAGTTGTCAGGAAGGGGGGAAAGGGTGGCTGATGGCTGTGTGAGCTTGGGTACATTTCCTGACTTTTCTGGTCTTAAGTTTCCTTATATATAAAGTATACATAATAATAGCTAGAGTAAAAATTTAATAAAATAACGTGTATAAAGCACCATGAGAGGGGATCCTCAGTACTCGGGAGGGACCTGAAGGGTGATAGCCCTTATGTCACTATACTCCAGTCCCTGACGCTTGGGCTTGATTTGTTCCTGTCACCGCTGATGTCTGAGATACAGCAGAGGGAGCCAGGACAGTTGAGAAAGGACAACATACGGCAGAAGCTGAGCGGCACAGACAGAAGGCACTGCAGAGGAGGGCTGGGGGATGGGGAGGTCTGCCTGGAAGAGGAGAGAATTAAGGGACAAGGGACTTGATAACCAAGGTGCAGACTCTGAAGACAGACTTCCTGGGTTCTTATGTCACCTCTGTTCC